CTCTCTCTTCGATAAAACTATCTCGAGTTTTGAGGAGTATTTTGATAGGATTTACGATAACACTTCAGCGGTCGCGACGACGATGCGACCCGAATGATCGCGAGCACATTTTTGGAGAAACAGAAACAGACGACTCGTATCGAGCGGCTCCAAATCGCGGGCATCGAGCCGAGTTAAGCCCATTTATCTCGCGCATGAATATGCCTCCTAACGACTGTCCAGACGAAAAAGGAAAAAAAAGCACGATGCAACGGCCAATGGGGAACGGCGAGAAATCGATACGACTTTAATCCGTAGGCTAAAGGCCGATATCCGCGGCAATCGGGAGAGCGAAAGTGATTGATGGATACCCATAAATACATAATCACGGCTCATTCGGTGGCGGTACAGCGCCGACGGACGACGAAAAATCGGGTACACCTCGTCTCGTCCAAGAGTCGTCCGTTATTCACGGTCGGAATTTTTAATCCGAGACGCGCGCTATCGTCTTGTTACACTGCTTCCCCATCGAGATGTACGCTCACACGAAACGGACGCATTTCTTCTATACTTATTTTTTTTTTCGTAAATACTGTTGGTTACTTTGTTACTAAGATAAAATTCAAGAGAATCAGAAACATTAATTTCAACTAATATAATAATTAATATAAAGATATTATGTAATCTTGCCTACGGAAATAAATGGCCGCCTTGGAAAATAAAAATAAAATTGAAATGTCATTTATTAACAAGATGCATCATAATGCATATTTAAATTAATATGAGACTTGTTAGTAATTACTAATTTTCCAAAAGTTCGCAAAACGTTTTGTAAAATTAAAAGAATTTCTTACAGCCTGAAATCTATTCGCGACAAATTTCGAAAAGAGACTTTGACATACAATAGAATATTATAATAAATAGAGAAAAAAAAAGTACGCGTGAGAGTTCACTAAACGCATAGCCATATTTCTGAGTAATATCTGTCATTAAAATATATACGGATAGTTTTAGAACAGTCTATATATAATGAATAAATGAGATTAAAAATCGGTAAAACTATCAAATAAATTTAATGTTTATCGTATTTGCGGTCATTTGAATTCCCGATACCTGTCATCGTTCACAAGCAGACTGAAAAGTTACCAGACACTCGCGCGTTGTCGTTCCTTCGGTAAACGTGCGCATCTGGCGCTCGAATATTTATCACGTTTCGCCAATATTTTGCAACCTCCGACAGGGTGTTAGGTCGCCGACAAAAAATCATCTGTCAAAGATCGAGCTTTGCCGTGGATTTTGCTTTCTCCAATTCCCCAGGAATTCTTCGAGCTAAAGAGTTTTGCGACTCGTGCACGCACGTTTCGGCAATTTTGCGAGCGTAATCGGGACCGAAAGCAGAATTGAGCGGTAAAACGCGCACGTTCGATCGTTTCGCACGATCCGACCGCGATTGAGACACCGTAAAAAAACATGTTATTTACCCAAAATCATCTATACTCATTACACCCGGCTTACTCGAAACTGTTTACCTCGCCAAGTGCAATTAACACCTCGAGAAGGGCACATTGATATTCATGGCGAGAGAAAGAGGGGGAGAGAAAGAGAAGAAATGTGACGTTCGATGAAAGTTTACAGCGTCAAGAATCGAGATAATTAAATTTATATGAATTTAACGCAATTAAAATCCAAATCTGAAAGCACCACGTTAAAACGTACGAAAAGATTTTGATATCTCGCTAAAAATTGAAAAAGAGAAATAGAAAAATATCTTATATCTCATTGAGAGCCGCACGCATCGCGACGTGTCACACGCGCGAAGAGTATAAATACCCGAACGATTATCGGCGCGCGAGAAGCGTTGCTTTTGCGCCGAGTCAGTTATCGGAATCAATACGACCCGTTTAGCACAGCGCGCATTGAATGATCAAGAAGTGTCAACACGATCGAATTTAATCCTCAACTCCTTCACTTTAAAGATCGAGTCCACCACACGAGTATTTCGCATTTGCATATGACGGAATAAATATTATTCGAGGGAGCCGAGTATTCTTCGCATCTCGACAAAACAAGTCTCAGACGAAACTCATAAAAATATAATTTTTTTTAAATAGATCGAATATATATATATATATATATATATATATATATATATATATTCGTACATATGTATATACGTGCACATAGAGAAATATTTATTCACTAAATGTTAATTCTGTTATAATTTTATTTTAATGAAACAAGTGTGCAATTCTTTTCTCGAAAGTTGCATATTTTGATTTGCAATAATCTCTTGTATTATTTTGTTCTATCTACTTTAGTATCTAAATGATATCAAAAATGAAAACTTCTATCAATATATCACATTATGTAAAAGAGAAAAAGAGAGAGAGAGAAAAAGAATTAGATATATATTCTTATTTTGCATTTTTAATCAATGTTTTAATTTATAAATCGATTTATAAGAAATATTTTAATAGAATTATCAATAATAATTATAATATTAAAATATTTCAAAATGTGAAATCTACAAAAGCATATCGAAAAAGAAAAATGTTATATTCGACAGTAAATATGTCATAAATAAATAAAAAATGACACTATCAAAAATAAAAACCATATAACACACTTGAATTAGAAATAAAATATATACAATTTATTAAATATTACAATTTATTATAAATTTTTGCGCTTTATGTTCATCTTAAAAATTTACTTATATTATTTAAAAATCTAGAGATCGAGTTTCTCATACATTTTTTCTTTACACACAATATCAATACACAAATCATATCTTTAACTTTGCGCGTGATACTTTGACAGATTTCACGAATCAAAAGGCTATCACGACAGACCAAGATTTTATACGAAAACCGTAATTATCTCAGTAATTTTGTCTGGCGCGTAAACCGCAAGAGTAAATACGCACGAAATTTAATTAATTCCCCGAAAAAGAGTATCCCTAACTACGAGCTTTTCGTTTCTGATCAGACAACGAGATGTTTAGCATCGAAATAATCTCCTGTCGAGATGCGTCCGTCGGGGGTGAATATAAAGCGACGGCGAATTTTTTATTTTCAATCCGTGTTTCACAATTCCGTGTTAATATTTCTCGACTGATTCTATCATCCGTCGGCGGATTTCACGGAAAGAGATAACCGACACGCAGCTACAGATTTTATTCTCGAGGTAGACATTTTTTAAATGTAAAATTTATCGCGGCATATTAAATTTGCAATTTTTGTAACGCGATGAAATTTACTTGGATGAAAATGACGTCACAGAAACTTAAATATCGAAAATCTTAACGCAAATGTACAAGATTGAAAATAATAAATGCTAAAATAAATCTTAACATGTGAACCTGAACATTCCATAATGTTGAAAGAAATCATTTGCACTTATTACATTTTATATTATACAGCGCGTGTAGTATAATTTAGTTTTGAAAATTGAAAAGAACGACTCGAGTTCATGTTGCTTCCAGCGATTCAAATTGTAAAAAAGAAAATAAAAGCTTCAACAATCGTATCTAATTGAATTATCGTAGACAACTATCTATTACCGGAATAACTTTGCAATTATTTATTACATTAGCGCGCGGAATAATGAAGAAATAATGCGTCTAGCTCTCGACTGCAAGTATTTACGAGACGCGAGATATGAATAGAAACGTATTTCGGAATTGCGACGTCTTTCATCATTGAGGACAACAACGCAGTGTCAATTTACCACTTGTTTTAATTATGTGTTCGCGGTGTCACGCGCGTTTATCACACATCGCGATTCGACTGAATGCGCGAGAGTCTCTGAAATTCTTTCTCCGAAATTCTGACACGCCAAGCCGTCTTCGTCTGTAACACATACGAACCCGAAATGTTGGAGATAATACTCGTACGAGATAATCACGAGCAGACGAGCATTCAACGAGAAATCTAAATTGCGCTTTCGCGGTTTCCGAAATGACCTCGACGCACAAACATTCGTTAACTGTGTCTCCCTATTCGGATTTTGTCACTTGTGTACTCTATTGGAGAGAAGTCGAACGCGAGAGGCGTCGTCTCGGCTCGCAATCGAGGCCAGAGGAAATTTACTCCCCGGTGTTGTGTTATGATTATCGGTTGTAATTACGCCGCGGTCAAAGTCGTCCGATTACGATGCGTATAATCGGCTCGAAACGGGCCCGCAAGACTAGCAACAGATATTCAACGCTTTCCATCTCCTTCTCTTTCTCTCTCTCTCTCTCTCTTTCTCTCGCATTCGTGTGAATCGACGGAATGCGCGAATAAGAAATTCGCTCTCGGCGAGTCCGCGAGCAACCCTTTCGCGCGACAGTCTCTTTCCTCGGCCGTCGCGGCGCGTTGTAAACGGCGTTGTAAGCGGCGGTTACAAAACGGATGCCGTGGCGACCGACATGTAAATTTTCTTTCGACACAAGGCGACGATATTCAATTCAAATTCACCGGCCGCGAGGATCCGCGCGCGTTCGAGACGAGACTCGTTGCCTCTCTCGAGACCGTGTTATAATTCACGCGATGCCGATGACTCTCGAGGCTGCCTACACGAGCAGCATTGGAGTAAAAACTCGAGCTTTCTCGCGAACGAATCACAAACTCGAGCGCATTAACCACGACACTCGAGCGCTCTCGCATACGGGACTCTTTTTGATATGTGACATTTGGAGAAGTTGGAATCTCCGTATCATTAATAATTTTTTCCTCTTTTGATTTTGACTCTCGCGTTATATATACTGTTACTTGGACACCTTTAAAACATTCATAAACGTCTGCGAAAAATATTTATGGATACATATTTCATATCCCTCTATACTTGAAAAAAATTTCAGAAAATTAATATCGTGTTTCCGCCACTAAATTCGCGTCTCGAACACTTTAAGAACGAGATTACAAGCTTCTTCAACGGGGCTCTCATATTTTACGCGAATTGATTCCGTTTCCGCGGCCTATCGACTATCTCGCCTAACGTCGCGAACAATTAAAGGGCAAAAGGTAACCAAAACTCACCCTTGGCTGCGCCATGAACGCCCTGGCCGCGCCGGGGAACTCTGCGTGCTGAGCCACCGTAGCGGCTGTATTTTCCCACAATGTAAGCAAGCGAGCCTCGACACTTCACAACACTTTTAAGCACTGTTGTAGCGCGATCTAAGCCTGGCGCTCGGACGCGCTACGCGACGCTGGGCTTTCGCGGCAAAAGGTAGAGTCCGACGGCTCGAGGTCGAGCTCCAAGTTCCGTCGGCAGCCGACGGTCCAAACTAAAAGACGAAAGTTTCTCCTTCTTCCTTCGAAAGTTGAAGGAAGGCGCACTCGCGTTGGACAATCGTTCCGTCGGCCCGCTTCTATTCCGCTCTGTCTTTCTCTCCCTCTTCTCTCTTCCTCGTTTTCCGTTATGTATTTCAAAGGACGTCGCTCGCAACGAGACGCGTAGCCGATGAATTTAGATAATCGCGAACAAGCGTCAGCACAGCTCGGCAACGGGTATAATCGCTCGTGGGAGGACTTCGGCGACGGCTACGACGACGGCTGCGGCCGGATACGCGTGTTTCCACATCGTCGCCGATGATACCACCTCCCGGTGGTTGCCGGTTGACGCAGCAGCTCGGGCGCCTCCCGTCAATCCCGCATATCACGCTTGCCCGATGCGCGCGGGCACGTGCTTCGCGACGAGAAATGTCTTCAACGACGGCGGACGAGACTCGATCTCGATGGACCTGGAGATGAGACGAGGAGCAGCGATGAGTGGCGTGGCACCTAGAGCGCGAGATTCGCGCGCGAGGCGATCGCGGGACCTGTCGGCCGAGCGTGCCACATCGAGATGGCGCCGGGATGTCTGTCGCGAGTAGCGCGAAGTGAGCCGTCGTTCCGCAAGCAACTTCGGAGTTATCTCACACAACCGAGACGTCCTGTTCTACGTTCACTATGTTTCGCGCACCAACAACCAACGATAAATCACCTGACCCGATGATGTCACTGACAGAACACCTCGTTACATCCTTCGATACTCAAACATGAGAGCGAGAAATCCACAAATGACGCCCGACGACGAAGACGACGACGACGACGGGCGTCAGGACGCTTCGCACTATTCACCGTCGCGGCACAGTGTCAACCGATGCGTACGCTCGCACCTCGCGGATGCGTTTACGAGGGACGCGCGTGACGCGTGGCACACGGTGGCAGCGGCAGGCAACGACAACAGCGTTGCCACGACGATGCGCTCTATTCCGCGATACGTATCTTCCTCCAAGTTGCCGCCTGTCGCGCACAATCTGTAAGAACCGGGTCGCGGAGCGATAACGCGCGCGCGACGTTACGACGGATATTACTTATACGAGACGGACGCGACGCGACGCGAGACGGGACGAGGCGACGACGACGATTACTCGCCGCGTTTACCGTGTACGCGACGGGTGAATACGATATCACCGTAAAGACCGCACGGACGCGAGTCGAGAGAGGAGACCGCGCGAGCGAGTGATGTCCGCGAGACGTCGGCGACCCTCCTCCCTGACCGTGACTACTACTGCGTGTGGCACTCGTAACTCCGGTGGACAGAAGGTGGTAGGTTCGTAGTGTGTTACACGTAGCGGCGGGCGCGCGGTCGAAGGCAGCCACGGGGATATGCGTGTTTCAGGTTTCCCCCACGAAAAAGCAACCGGGTGTAGATCGCACGGGTTAGAGAAGAGCGGAGCGAGCGAGCGTGGAGAGTAGCGCCTAGCGCGGTTTTAGATCCTGCGCCTTCCGCAGTCGTTCGCCAACTGTCAATCAGCGCCGCGCTACGCCGTAGAGTGGGAGACTCGCCGCCACGCCTACGGAACGCGGCCAATGCGTCTTCGCGACCGCCCATCGGGATCGGGCGAGAGAGCGCACCGCTGCGGCGAGATTGCGAACTACAGAATCCTCCGCCATCGCTACACCACTACCAACGAGACCGCCGACGGACGACGACGACGACGACGACGACGACGAAGGCCGTGGCTAGGACGATACGAGAACGTCGTTCGCGCGAAATACGCCGAGTCCGGGGAGTCCGGGCGAGCGAGCGGTCAATCGAGGCGTTTCCCGAGACGCGTTAGCCTCTCGAGACTGTTCTTCCGAAAACTAAAGTTGAGAAAAATCTACGATCCTATATCTGTTTCAGAATTTTGCTGCCGGAAAAAAATATCTTCCCGGGAGACTTTGCATAAATGTTGCGTGTTGCCTTTTTGCCATATCCAAGTATAATTCTCTCTCTTAATTCTCGCTCTCGATTAATATTTCAATTAAAATATAATTGCATACAACTTGATACAATTAAATGATGTACATAAATAATACCCGGGAGTATAAACCTGCGCGTAAATAATTTTTGTCGACTTGGAGTAAACCTGCGACGTGGATATTAATGCGATTGATCGTCGGTGATCGATGTTGTCTGGTGGAATAACTAGTGCGCATTTTGACAGTGCGCTTTCGGGACTACTATCCCCTTCTGGGTGCTCGGCGGATCGAGCCGAAGATGCTCGAGCGGTCACGAGCGCAGGATAACACTGACAGTCAACGCGACGATTACTTCTTGGCAGAGAGAGAGAATCCGTCGCAACGCTGTTTTTGCACAAACGCAACCGTTTCCGCAAATTTGCAATCGATCCAAGTCGCAGATTTGGCTGATTCTGACACGCGATAAATCACCGGTCTTTTCGAAATTATAGTATCACGTGCGCACGTACGAGGAATGAATATTTGTTTCAGCAGAATTAAACGCTGCCCGACAACTGGTCGCGAACGACTGCTTAGTAATCCTATTTAATGAAACACGATTCTTTTAGTCGTCGTTTGCCGTCGGACATTATTGGACACCGGCACAAGAATCTTTCTGTTAACCGCGAGAAGAAAGCTACACTATTGATATAAGAATAACAAATACTTTTTTATTACACTTTAAATATGTTGAAAATATATACGTATATAGTAACCGTGTTAAACCCAAAATAGAAATTTCCGCAGAGTTTATAGTTTGTTTATACCGAATAAGGAGCTTTAATGTTTACCTTAAAAAATGAAAAATGATCCTCTATTTTGGTGCTTCAAACGAGACAAAATATTCATACATACACACATATGTGTATGTGTAATACAAAACACATCACTACTGTTTACATACGCACATTAGATATGTTTTTTTATATGTTTTTATCCGTAATTTATTCTTCGAAATTGTTATTCTCGCGAGACATAATGATAGTGAATATTGAAAAAAATGCAATTTTATAATAATGTATATACGTGTATATGTCAAACTAAAAATATTGAGTGGATGTTTTAACGACTTAACGCGGATTCGTCCGAGATGTAAGTCCATAGGGAATGATTACCGATCAAACCAGGGCCATCACCGACGACAATATGGGCGATTAATTTTCCCTTTTCTTCATAATTTCGTCGGCGTTTTACGCCAGGCGCCAACGATCGAGCTTTGAATGAACCGAACAGCTGACTCCGCGTAGGAATTGGGTCGCGAACGTGCGGTTTCGAACTTTGAATGGTATTCGGCGTTCGGTGAGTAATAGCGACAGGAGGCGGTTGCAGGAGGACGAGGAGGAGGGCGGTCGGCCTGTCACCGACATCACTCAGTGTCTCCCTCCTGGCGTTCACTTCGCTCGATTTTATGACTCTCTCATCCCGCATTTCCCTCTTCCTCCCTCCCCTCCCTCCTCCCTGTAGTCGACGTCGTCGTCGTCATCGTCGTCGTCGTCGTCGTCGTCGTCGCCGTCGCCCCCCGTGCTCGTCCTCGCGCGCCTACCATCGTCCTTTGCGCGCGCGTTTACACGCCGCGTTCCGCATAATATCGCAAATTGACACATCCGCGTTCAGCAGCCATCGATCGATGTGGCGGCGTCGAACTGGACGCCGTCAACGAGGCGGATAATGAATCCCGGATCTCTGAATTTACGTTGGACGCGTCTTATAACGTAGAAATCCAAGATGAGTCTATTTCTCCCGACTTGTTTATTTTTTCTTGTATAAATTTATAATATTGTAAACTCTTTATGTACGGATACAAGATTAATTGTGTAGGAATATAATATTTATAAATACCGAAAGATTATAAATATGATAAAAATATAAATATATGAAATAAATTATAAGACCGTATAATTAAAATTATACATACTAGTGAGTAAAATTTATCGTAAATTATGAGAAATTCTTACAGGAGATTTTGTCGAGAGTTTAAAGGTTAACTTTCTATTCTCACAAGATTCCAAGCTTTCTTTGCTCAACGCGTAGAAACTTTGAGCAAGCAACTAAAAAGAACAAATCACATAAATAATAGTGATTCAAGTCGATACAAAAAAATGTACTTTTAAAATTTAAATTCATAATTTCATAATTAAAATATACACTAAATTATACTGAGTGGATTAAGGATTAGAAATACAAATATAATTTCTAAAACATACATAATTGTTATTTCAAGCGCGAAAATTGCGAAAAAATTGTTTAATAGGTTTTGCTCAAAATAGCATTCAGACATAGTATCATCTTACATCAGAATCATTCTTAGCGAAGTGTTTACAACGTAAACATGCAAATCGATTCTAAAGCATCGATTTATATGTTGAAACGTATTGAGTTGTCCGACCTACACTGAAAAAATTGTATTCTCAACTTAAGAGGATCTCCTTTTGGCACCTATTTTAGTATATATATTCTAAAGGTAAGTGGCATATTCTTAAGTTGAGAATACAATTTTTTCAGTGTAACAATAAGAAAGAAACGGTATGGGCACCATCACATATGCTTTTAGACTTCTTTTGCTGAAAGAATGCATGCTCCGGAGGTCTGTTACTTTATCATAAATTTTGTCAATCAAATGAAACAAACAACTATGTCAACTATGTCATATATCGGCCAATACAATAAAAGAGAAATTTTTTTGCTCTCTTTCTCTCGATCATGAAACCAGCCACGAGCTATTAAATTCTTCGTGACGCCAAAAAATGATTGATTCTAACGTAAACCTCCCGCCTGTCTGCGAATTATCTAAGTGGCTCCACGAAAAATTCGATAAACGTTGACGGAGCCGGGAAAGCTGTCACTCTCGCTACTCTTTTATGGATTTGCGATCACATGCTTTACAATTACAATTTGAGATTTATTAAATAAAGTGTAGGAAGTAACGTATAAAGTATATGAAATAAAAATGTGTGTTACTAAGAATGCAACTAAGAATGAAATCAAGAATATAATCAATCAATAATTAAATTAAAAAATTATAATTTAAAAATATATAACTTTAGTATGCATGTACTATTTTTTGTATTTTACATTTTATTATATATTTTTTTATTTATTATTTATTACTTATATACACTATAACTTTGTAGCATTTATATTTATTTTTTTTTTATAGATGCTTTATCGACGATGTAAGAAATATAATTTTATTAATTTTAAATAAGTAAGATTAAATTATTTATTTTTCATTGAGAAAAGCAAGACTAATTTGTCTCTTGATTTATTTCTCTATTGTCTGTGTATATCGGCAGTGTTATATAAAAGACGATAGAAAGGTCGATTACATTCATGTCACAACTAAATAAATACGACGTGATCGCGATTCGGTTATAAACTTTGACAAGATAGACGTCGTATTCTCGAAACAGTCAAAGCTGCACAATCCTGAAAACGCGTTTACGAAGATGGAATTACAGAAAGAGTTTTTTTTTCAAGTGACGTGAATTAATGCGCTGAGAAAAATGATGCAATAGTTTACGCGATTTAAAAACTCGTTTCGTATTTTCAATAATTCTGCAAAATGCGTCAGCTGTCCTTTCTTTTGGAAAGAAAGGGGAAAAAGACGTAATAAGTCGAAGTCTATATACAGTAAAGTAGATAGAAGACAGAACGAAACGTATGCATATCTATACATATGTGATGCACGTCGATAATTTGTATTTCGTGGAAGATCTCGATGCGGAGAATGTTTGGAGTCGCGAGTTTCATTTAAAATACATTAAAATTTTTGTGATAAAACCACATTTTGCGCTCGATGTATAAAAGAAATAGAAGCAAAGTTTTTGCAGAAATAAAATCTAAACGTCTAAACTTTAATTCTATCATCTCTCAATTACAAGAGCGTTGTTTGAAATTGGTTATCTTATCGCGAAGCATATGGATTTATTTACTATTGTAAGAATTGTCTCCGTAAATCTTGTCTCTAATTTGTTCGGACAAAAAAAAAACGAGAATGAGAAGCGAAAGAGAACAGATTTCTTTTCGTTTAACTATAATCTAGATCTTTTCGAAGAATTTTAAAATAAAAAACGAAATATAAGAAAATGAAAGCAATAGTGAATTTCTTTCCTACAGTCTAGATTTATTCGTAAAATTTTTAGTATTGCATATGTCAACACAAATAAACATATGTACACGATATGCACGAGTTTTCAAATATACAAAACACATACATAAGAAATTCTATTCGAGTCGATAATCAAATGTCGATTTTACGAAAAGAAATTTTTCACACACACAGCGCAGATACATATTTCAAATCTTTAAAGATTTTTTATTTTTCACGTAAAAAACAGGAGAAATTAAACTAGAGATATGTACGAAAAGATTACTCTTAAAAGATTAAATCCCGATTTGATCGTAAATCGAGAAATGTGCTACTTTATAGACTTGCCGTTGTAAGACATTGCAGTAAATAATCTCGCGTCTTAAAAATATCACATATAATTTCACAAGTTTATCCAATAT